CAGCAATTGTAATACCAAAGAGTATATAAAAGAAAACGGTTTCGCCCATACTGGCATTTTCAGCTTGAGCTGCTTCTGAGTAAACAAAAAACTGCTCAAAAAAGTTTGTAACATCAATACAAACTCTGTAAATGTCGCCAGCGAGCATTGAAATTCTTCTTCTAAAATTTATTACTAGTCAAAATTGTCTTCTTCTCTATGAGTGAAAGCGCGCGTTGAGTGAAGCTCGCATAGGAAAGACGAAAGGAAGCATAAAATTTATGGTTTGTTTCGAAAGATAAGTTTTCAAGTTTGTTTTATTATCGCGCAACTAAAACGATATACATCTTAAACTATTTTTCATTGTATATATGGTAAGTATGCACTTCGCTGAAAATAAGATCATCAAAAACTAGGTAGGCGTAAGTGTGTGGGGATGGCTAGATACGGGTGAGCGTGAGAGTGATTGTGGATGGCTATATTCTGTTAAGTTATACTTACATCCACTCCCTCAAGATGGATTGAGTTGTATTTCTGTGGACAGATAACACGATTGTTTATATTCAAACTCTTTAATTTAACTTATTATACTCACCTTCACTATCACCCTCACCATGCTGAAGCATTGATTATACATATATTGCAGATTCAAAATTAGTCAAACAGCGATTGTTTCAATGCAATATGTACAAAGTAATTAAAAGAGAGAAAAGTATTTTCGTCGTAGGATAATAAATTGTCTAACAATCCACTAATAAAGAAAAGATAAAAACTGTTTTCTCTCATTTCTGTTGAATAACAGCAAGACCAAATTTCGCCGTCTATCGTATCAATTTTATATAAAAGGTAACTAGGAATTGATACACACATATAGTCGTAAATATATGAAGTAGTTTGCGACTCCGCATAAGCTCTAATCAAATATCGATAATAATACTGTATTGCTTTTTCTAAATTTTTAGAAAATACATTCCTTTATTAACAGTTACGCTAAGCAATATGGGTACATGTGCTTCAATGGAACAAGAAATTGTCTGCAATAGTCTACTTGTCTCTCATCTGAGCCCGCCACGTCACGTAAGATGACCTTTTATGCTGAAATATCTTCTTTTCTTTCTTATGCAGACACTAACTGACTACCCGAATTATCGTAATGTTAATTTGAAGCAACGCATTATGTCGGACGGTTCTCGACGTTGTGTGGACGTGAATGACATGAAATTAACAGATCAGGATATGCAGATTGTAGTTCAATGGGGAATGATACATAAAAAATGTAAATCGCTTGCAGTAGGAGGTAACAGGATAACATCACAGGGTGTGTGGGTCATCGCCAATGCATTATGTATTAATACAACATTAAAACATCTTACTCTACATTGTAATCATATATGTGACACGGGCACTCAATATCTGGCACAAACTCTCACACTTCACAACTCGACTCTCACAGGTCTTGCCCTTCATATAAATGATATTACCGACGTCGGTGCTGGGCTTATAGCTGGAGCGATTAGAGTAAACCGAACTCTAGTTTATGTGGATTTATCAAGAAATCGGATTGGCGATCAAGGAGCGATACAGTTGGTTAGTGCAATTATTCAATATGGTGACAAATTCGAACGGTTAATGCTTCATACAAATCAACTGATAACTGATGTGAGTGTTCCGACTATTGTTCGCATGCTTGAAATGAAACGACCTTTGGAGACGTTTTGGGTGAATAAATGCAGTATTTCGGATGTGGGACGTGCAAAAATTTGGCAAGCAGGAGAAACAAGAAAGAAATTTTACCACAATGAGTAAGAGATTCAATGAAAAAAGAGAACTTATTCAACAATTAAAACTGTTTCATCATATTTGGATACAATACGATATGAACTATTATTTATCTACTGAATATTCAAAGCTTATAAATGAATAAATACTTCAAGAGATTATTTGAAAGTTGATTATTTGATATTGTAGACAGCAAGAAAGTTTGACAAGGAGCAGCTTGGAAAAAGAGTAGTTTACTATAAATGAGGTTGAAGGTATAAATGATGAGTCAAATTTGACGAAAATCAGAACTTTTGTATCATCTTGAGGGTGTGGGTGGGTGTGAGTGTAGATTTTCAGAGAGAAAAGATCCACAACTACACTCTTTGATAATCGATGAAAGAGAATATTTATTTACTTAATAATACAATAGAAATTAATTTCTTCTGTCATAAAAAGAAAGGAAAATTATTGTAGGTGTTTAACTTGTATCATTCGTCTTAATTCATGTATGAGGGTGGGTGAGTGTAGGTGTGTTCGACTGCAGATATGCACACACCCACACCTTCTTCGTTAAATAAAAAAGTGAAAAGTTAAAGTTTATTCTTGTTTATAATACAATTTGTTTGCGATCACTTTAAGAAAAAAAAGCGCATGATAATACTATTCGTGCAAAAACTTCTAACTACAGGCAAAGTGCAATAAAATATGCTCAACTACAAATCAAATACACAAAGTCTAATAAGTATTTTTGAATAAATCTTGTACACATTTAGTTAATCACGTATTATTTGTATATATAAAATATGTTTATTCAAAATTTTCATCTTTCCATCGTGGCTCGAAGTCTGCTGGTAAAGCTTCGACATTTAATGGATATAACTTATCATCATATTCTTCGTTGTCAATCATAGAAATTTTATAACGATCCACGATTGCATGGCGAACAACCATCCAAGCACGTCTTTGATCAGGTGGTGGAATCCTTTCATTGCATGCATTACCTTCTGTTGATTGTTTTTTTAAGTTATTATACCATGATGGATGTCTTTCATTATAATATTTAGCTTTTGGAAATATAATTTCATCCTCATCATCAGTCTCATCGCTCTTTTCATTCTGCAAGTTATTCGGTTGATGCTGTTTTCCTGCATGAACACCTATTGTTGTCCAACGCTGATAACACAATTCAAGACACGGTGTATGTGTTTTGTGATATCGCGTTCCACGAAATGCAGTTGCCAAGTGGTATGTACTCTCATGAGTTTCAACAACACTTGGTTCAGGATGTTTGCACGTACAATCACTTGGTAGACAAATTTTACAAGGATCTTGCCAAACTTGAACCTCTTCTTTTTGGTGAGGTTCTGTTTTACTACATTTAGCACCACATCCTGGACATCGAGCTTGGCAACCAAGTCGTGATGCAATGCTCTGTTTACAACTGTTAAATGCTTCAGTTTTGATATTTTTTGTCAAATCGTTTATTGTTTTTTCAATATCTTTGTAATACGTACAAATATTTTCAAAACCTTGGTTAAATAGTTTCTTCTCTGTAATTGTCATGCGAATAACATTATTCAATGCAAACATCGAGTATAATTCTCTTTCCAATAATTCTGTCGATTTCAATTCAGGTATATCAAGAATTGCTTTTCGTATCCCATTTCTTAATTCATGAGTATGTTCATATGCATGTTCTTGAACAAATGTATTTGCCGTATTAATTGCTGTAACAATTAAATTTTTAAATTTTAATGTATGATGATGTGTTACAGTATGCAAAGTTGTTTTTATTTCTTCGAAACTCAATTCAATGAAATATCGATTGATATCATAAATATATTTAAGAATATTCTCACCATTTGCTTGACTTATACTTTGTTCATAGGCTTGTTTTTGTATAACTTCATGATTAATAAATTGACTTTTTATAATATCTTCTCTTATGTCTTTGTCAATTCTACGTTGTAAAAGACGGCAAATATCCTCGACAATCTGTTTTCCAATTGTTTCAGCAAGTGTTTGTCCTAATTCAATGGAATTTTTCATCGCTGTATATTGTTTATATAAATTATCTTGACATTCTTTTATTTCATTTGTTGTATTTTGTAAATTTAATTCATAATCTGATTTTTCTTTCGCTATTGCTTCGGTAATTATAGTTTCAAGACCAATTACCGCCAAATCTGAGCAGAGTATGTGTTTATCTACACAATATTGTTTTGTTATACATGGAGAATTCATTGCATTTTCGATGTATTGAAAAAGATGCTGAATAGTCGTTGGATTTGATGACAAAGATTGTGTAGCCTTGATTGATGTTAAAAGATTATCTTGAAATTCTGGTATAACATTATTCCATATCTGTGCAAAAGTTCCCTTATACTTGTTTACTTGTGTATTAGTTGTAATCCATGTTGGCTCATCTTTTAACTTTTCCCATACAGAATCGATACATTTCTCTGATGATCCTGAAAACAATGATCTGAAAGCTTTCCATAAACCACTAAATTTGAGTGGACTTTGTTGCTGTGTTTGTTGTTCAGGCCATGACAAACAAGATTCAAATTTTTTGGAATGTTTTCTAAATTCTGCGTCATCCTGTATGGTAAATAATAACTTGTAAATACTTCCATGGGTTGTTTCTTGTTGTTTACACAACAGTTGATTATTGTAAAACTTTAGAATGTTCTGTATAATTTCAGTTTCTGTTTTTGATGATGATTGAAGATTCTTGCGGTGTTGTTCTATCGTAGATCGAAATTTTGTTTCAAGGCGATATTTAAGTTCGTGTAATTCAAAGCTTTTATGTTGATCGAATTCTGTTTGTACTGACTCTAATAATTGTTTTTGTGCATCATTCACACGAGCCTTCTTTAATAAATCGATTATACGTGTTTTAAAATTTTCTCTTAATAAATGTTGTACAGAATGAATTGCCGGTTCTAAATATCTGCTAACTTTTAATTTTGTTTCTGCTAGATAACAACTTCTTTCTGTTTTATCATTAAAATCCATTTGTGCTTGATTAACGACTTGCGTAATTATTCCAGTTAATTGATGATTAAATTTATTATTAATACCATCAAGTTCTTTATCGATACAACCATCTCTTGAAAATTCTAATAATGTCTTTTCAATTAAACCTTCACCATGTTGAAAGACAGTTGCATTTGTTGCCTTAATTATTTCATTAGCTATGATTTGAAGTTCTTGCAATATCGAAAGTTCATAGAGTGTTTTACATTCTAATAATCTTGGACCTAAACGATCAATTGCTTCCCAATTACTTGAAATTTTCGTATATAATTGTGTCATATCTGTATATGCTACTTCTGCCATAGGTGATTGAGGTTCGACAGTTGACGTTGCGATAGTACTGCTTAATTGGTGGAATCTTCGTGGTTTTGTAGTACTTGTGATATTATTAAATATTATTTGTCGAAGTTTAATAATTTCTTGTGGAAATGTTTGATTTCTCCAACATCTTGGTATATTTGAAATAGCATCAGTATCATGTGAAAATGCATTTGGTAATAAATAGAGGTTTTCATTATTAATATCAAGTTCATCATCAATTGATCTTTTAAGAAATTTACTATCATTCTGTAATTGATCTTTTAACTGTGTCAATTGTCGAAAAAATGTTTTTTTGGATGAAAGATCTGCTTGATCTCTTAAAATAAATAATAATTTGGGTTTTATTGGACTTTTGATATTTAATTTTGCATAAAAACTCATACCAATAAGATCTTTTAAATTCGCACTAACTTCACCTTTATGATTAATTAAAACAAGATGTGAAGAAAGTACAGCCATTGTAATCATTTGATTATCAAATATAGAACCAGCTTCTTCTAATGAAAGAAGTCCTTCTGTATCAAAAATAACAATTGTTTTGGATTTCCAATGAATAATACTCATATACATTCCAATTGTACAACGTCCAGCACTAACACGAAAATTACAACCAAATGTTGTATTCATTAAGGATGATTTAGCTGATGATTGTTCTCCAATAACTGTTAAAACTAATGGCGGTTCCTGCATTGTTGTTGATGCAAGAAATTTTATACTTTCTTCTATCAATCGACTATGACAGTGTAACGGACGACCACGAAGTATATGAATTGCAAAGCCTTTCTGCATTAAATTGACAAATGCTTTAGCAATATCTTTTATGAGACTTGAAGGCTTAAATATATACGGTGAAAGTTCATATAAAGCCATTATTTCATCACAAAAAAGACCAATGGTTAGATCAATATTCATTAGTTTCTGATTAATTTCATTGACAAGTCTATATTGTTGATTAAATTCGCTTTTAACATTACGTAGTTCTTGTTGCATTTGTATATTCTCTGCAGATAAATGTTCTTCTATCTGTTTAATTCGTGAAATTAATTTTGAAGCTTCAGCTTTTGCGTTACTTAATTGTTCAAGTAATGTTGATTCAAATTGTGATCGCCATTTCTCTAAATATTTTTCAGTTATTAATAATTCCGTATATGTATATTTCGTCAATAAATCAATGAAAAAAGCAGTGTGACGATTGATAGTTGCAATTCTTGATCGTTCTCGAATTAGATTTTTTTTTCGATTTTGTATTTCTGTTTGAGGAGCATTCCAATTATTTACCGAGTCTTTCTCACATTGTTTTATTGCAGAATCCAAATAACTAACTGGAGTTGTAATACGAAGATTTTCTGTTTTTTCATTTAAACCACCAAATAGTTGTTTAAGACGATCTTCAATTTCAAAATGACAATGAACGGGTGCACTAGAATTTGTTGAATTTTTAACAGTAAGATAATATGATTGAATTGAAAATATTGATGTACACTTAATATACTTTTGTACATCTGTGTTTATACTTTCTCTTAATTCTTTAAATGATTTGAGAAGCTGTTGTGAGCGTGTTAAATCTTTATTTTTTTTGTTATGATCACGCTGATACCATAGTTCGGAAGGTGGCGCGGTTATCCATCTTATATTCTTCCAATGTCCATATTGTGATTGAAAAGAATTAATAATATGGTCTGGACCAATTCGTTTATCATCATAATTTGGATCGAAAATGATAACAATAGTAGGTTTTGTTTTTATGCATTCTGAGTAATTCATCATAGAATTCAAAAATACACCATTAAGATCTTCTTTTGTAACATACAATAGCTGAAGTGAACAATATGTTTGAATAGAAGTAATAATATCTTCATTGAAAATATTCATTGTTCCATGTACATCAAAAATAGTATGCGACTCATCCTTTTGATTTCTTTCTTCTGATGAACAAAGTACATCAATACATCCATTTCGAAGAGTGGAACTTCCGTCTGTACTCAATGCTTCCGTACGTTTGTCAGGAAAGATATATTGTAACATGCTGGTCTTGCCCATTCCAATCGCTGATTTACTACCAATTTGTAAAATATATTGACCATTTGTCAAACACATTATTTCAGACAATATATTAAAATTGATTTTATATTCGACAGAATTTATATGGTTATTCCACATATAATATGCAAATGGTACAGGTAAATCATTTTTCTTAATAAAATTACCAAAATAACGTTGACTTTCGTATGACATTGACTCAATTGTCGTTATTAATAAAACTGATTTTGTTATTGTATCTATTACATTAGAAAATATTTCAATAATTTTTTGATGTTGTTGTGGAACTTTTGTGAAATCAATTTGATTGCACGATGGCAAAATGTGAATAATATCCATTAAACTATGATATCTTTTCAAACTATCAATTATATAGCCTTTGATTGAGTGATTTTGTATTAATTCTTTAATAAGTGTTCGTGTATCAATCATTTCATCTACCAATGTATTGAATGTTTGATCTAACCCAATAGATTGCCCTAAATTTTCAGAGCATAGACATGACCACCATTTTTTCAATAGTTCATAATCATCATTAGTAAAATACTGAGCATTTATCGACGCAGAATGGATGCAGTTTGTATCCTTGAGTAGATCCTTCAAATTAATCTGAATGCTTTTATTTGAAACACATAGATTCGATCCTGGGCAAATAGCTTTGGCGCTCACTCTTCCTAAAAAGTTAAAAAGGATGTAAATACGAAGCTAAAATAATATTAAAAAAGTAGTTGGAAAAAAAGTCAGTCTAATAATATATGATATGAAGTAGGATCTAAAAGAAATCTGTCATTGATTACCGAAACTCTGAACATGACCAAAATAAATAAGCTCGCCGTAAAAAGTGCGTGGATTTGCGTTTGTTTCTTATGTAGTCCACACACATCCACACCGTCAAGGCTTTGGTGTGATCCATGTGGCTGAGTGTGCGTATGCGTTTGGATAAGAAAATGAAATAACTTCACCGACACCCTGACGCGGCAGTGTCGTTGTGGGCCCGTTGGCGGTAGATGCTCTTACAGCATATCAATGTGGTGTTGTAGTGGTATATTTTCAGTCTTGAGAGTTATCTTTGGTTTAGATATTTCGTATTAATATTAGCCTAATAAATATCAAAGGTGGTCACTAACCTGCTGGTAGGACTTTGTGACCTTGAGCATCATTGCTATCTGTTGTTGATACTATAGACTTCTCTTGATATTTTGATCTAAAAGAAGACTTTTACTTAAAATCCAGGAAGCGAAAGTTTATTTTTGTGGAAATTATTACTTTAGTTTGGCAAGTTCATTTTTGAACATTATCTGATACTTTATTTTAGCAACTAATTGTTTCAACGTTGTATCGTCTAAGCCATCACTCATTAGTAATGAACCATCAATTTCGTTGTCTGAAAAATCGACACGACGACTATTATTTTTAGAAAAAAGATTCAACAAGACTTACCCTTAAAGTTTTCGATAAATTCGCCTAAACCAACAGATTCAAGCCAGTCAACTACTTGTTCTACCACCCAAGACTCAGGTGTGTCATGTATAACAACATCTATTTTTATAAAGAAAAGCAAAAGATATGTATCGATCTAATATCTAATAAAACGGTGCAAACAACTCATACCTTGGGTACTTTGTGCTGGTGATCCAATCGTTAACGTGTTGAGTTCCGTAGTCAATTCTGCAGCTGGCTCAAGCTCCTACAAATATAGAGAAAATTCTGTATATTGTGCCTCCTTAGTAAGATCGTCCTCATATACCGTTGGTAATGAGTCATGAAATGTGTCTTCATCTGTTTTAGTTGTTGTTATGATCAAAGCTTTCATATTTGAGCATAACAAAGATTGAGAGTTATCAATAGTTACTTGATTACTTGTAGTGTCGTCCCTAAAATGGAGAAACTTATGCAAATGAATATTTTTGCTTACTAATTTTATGGAATAGGAATTGTATTGTACTTTTGTAAAACAATACAATGTTTCTTCGTCTTCCATTCATACTGTAACAGTAGATGTGAGTGAATTTGCATACTTAGTTTTGACTCATTGTACACTAGTGTAGAGGCGGCGCCAGAATTTTTACCTTAGGGGGCTAAGCCCCCCTCAAAAAAATTCTGAGGGGGCTCAGCCCCCTTAGATTTATGTTTTTGTTAGAGAATCATCACTTTTTTACGAGAATTTTAAAAAATCTGAGGGGGCTCGAATGATTTCTGAGGGGGCTGAGCCCCCGCCAGCCCCCCCCCCTTGGCGCCGCCACTACACTAGTGTCTACTTACGCCGACCTTCATCCTGTCACTCACGTCTACATCCTGGTCGTCATCTCCTCACATCCATACATACCCTCGCCTTTGAGCATTCTTGCTGTTTTTCGTCATTGCAGGATGAGATGCAGTTGATTGGATTCCAGGTATTCGAATCTGGTGGGAAGATGCCTTAGTAGGATGCTTTTCTTTCGCTTTACCACAGTTAAAACATTTATTCTTATTCTGTTGGCAAACATTTTCTTTGAATGCAGCACATGACTCAGCCATTTGCTAAAAAAAACGATTCAATGTGAAAACTCTTAGTATTTACATAAGTGTACGTCAACAGCAATTTCAATTTATAAATTCCGTACAGTTTTTAGGTTGCATCTTCTGAAAAAATCTCAAGAGTCTATTTCTTATCTTTGTCGAGATTAATTCGAAATACAAGCGCTACTACAAACATTATGGAATACCTGTATTCAGTACTTCGTGCCTGTAACGTACGCGATATCATAGAGATCAATATCACATTCTGCAAGTATAACTGGTTTTCTTTGGTCGTAGGAAGTGATCCAAAATTGGCGTTAGCCAAACTGAGGGTTTAGGACAGTAGCTCGTATAGACACATGCTCGTCGGACAGTTGCTCGCTAGGACACTTGATCGCCAGAGTGTGGGTGTAGGTGTTGAAACAATAGAACACCCGCACCCACACCCCCACCCCCATTCACACTGGCATCCACACCCTCACCCACACTCATACCCTCAAAATAGCTGGTAGAGCTAGTACGGTAAAGTCCCCTTACATTTTCTATTAAGCTAGTTTTTGATTTTGCTAAATAAATATCTTGCCGGAGAGGTTTTAAAGGATAAGTGTTTAGTTGACGACAGACATGAACAAGATTTAATGAGTGAGAAAAACAAAGTGCGCAAGAGAAAGTTGAAAGATTACTTTGCGTATAGTATAGTGGCTAAATATGATTATTAGAAATTGAAACTAATATCATAGTTTGTAAAGTTTCACTTGTGTTTATTTATTATGACTATGGAATTATTCCATTCACCGTTTCGCTACTAGATGTAGTGAAGAAACTATCGTCTTCACACTATTTCTTCCACTAAATTCTAAATTCTACAAGGTACTCCATGTAGTGAAGTAGATTATTTCCTTTATACAAACGCTAAGGTACATGAAGATGAGACTGTTTTGCTCATCCTCACTATCATGACTAGTTGAAAACTCTACTAAGTCGATAGGTACTCGAATTCATCTTCGGACTTTATATTTATTCATCGAAAAACAAAAAGTAACACTACACTTACTACTGAGTTATGAAATAATTTCCTTCTCTTCGTCAAAGAATGACAATAATTTTTTTTTTGAAAAAGAAAATGTAATAATGAGAGCAAAAAATATTCCCTTCACTGTTGAGAATGTAAGAACGATGGTAGACAACTTTTTTCCGGGAAAGACTCTGAGAATGAGAATAAATAAGGTTTTTTGAAAAGGAAAATGTAACAATGGAAGCAAAAATTATTCCTTCTAATATTGAGAATGTAAGAACGACGATAGACAACTTTTTTTGCGGGAAAGAGTCTGGGAATGAGAATACATAAGTTTCTTTTTCTGAAAGAAGGATGCAGAAAAGAGTAAAAAAAATTTCTTCTAACATGGAAAATATAATTATGATAATGGACATGCTTTTTCCGGTGAAAAAGTGTAAAAACACAAACAAAAAATAGTTTTTCCAGGAGGCAGAATATAGGAATGAGAGTAGGTTGTGTTTGCAGAAGATGCGTTCATGTTTTGCTCACTTCCTGCAACCAAAAACACAAGGAATCCTTGTAGGATCTTTATCAAATTCTCAAAGATATAGAACGAGGATACCAACGAAGTGTCATAGCAAGTACCACTCATTTTCTAAACTGATTAGACTATTCGAGTCATACACATTTTGACATTGTCATTAAAAGCTGGATAGAAAAGAGTTCAATTTGAAGCACAATTTGCTTGATTCATGGTGTCACGACAGCTAGTATGTTCATGCAGATTATTTCAACTTATAAGAAATTAAAGACTCGAAATTGGTTGGATCATTTTTCTATGTTAGGTTAGCCACTTTTTTTCGCGTATATGTTCGCTCCTTCTCATGATTCTACGATATTTAGGTAGACCTTGAACAACTACACATACTACGTTCAGATAGACTTCGAAAAATTACTGGTACTACATCCAGGTAGATCTTGACAAACTGGATATTACGCTTAGATAGGCTTTTAAAAAATTACAAGTAGTACGACTATGTAGACCTCGAAAAATTATTGTGTTGATGGGATGAGGGCAGAAATTAAGTTAGATTATGGCAAAGGAAGAACTGTAGTGTGATTAGCTAGTTTTTCCTATATAAATTGAGCCACATTTATCTAGCTGACATGCCCGGCTCGCTTCCCATGACCTCTTTTCTTTTCTATTCTGTTTTTAAGTAGCTTTATATATAAGAAAACTAAAAGTGCTTGCGATCGATATTATTCTCTAAATTTTCACATAATAAGATAAATAAAAAAAGTGATAAATTTTTGCAATAATCTAATTCAAATATTTATAAAGTTTTGCTATACTTTCTAACAAATTTTTTATGAATAAATTGCTTGTTTTTCTTATCTTGAGGATGTGAGTAACTATGGGTGGCCGTGGATGAAATGCAATACTTACATTCACATCCTCGCTCACCCTCAAGATATATTTCCGTTTTTATTTGATAGATTTTTATAATTAATAAGTTTATCGAGAAGATTATATTTAAAAGAATATGATGAAGAATTGATTCATTCATTGTTTTTATTAAATAATATTAGAGAAAAAGAAAACAATTTTCATATATGGAAAACTCATTGGCGAATAATATTTCTATTTGATTGATTTTATTTATTATTTCAATTAAAATAATATTCATTCGATATTATACAATGAATAATATTTTCATAATTAAAACATTAATTAAACAATTATTGATTTTTTTTCAAATAAGAACAATTTCAAATAGATTTCAACTAAATTTTTAAACAAAAAATTTGAAAATAGAAAAGATTAATTTAATATAAATCTATGATAATATTCTAAATTTATTGTTTAAAACGATGTCATATTAAACAGAATTTATATGAAAGAATACGTTTTAAACAATCATACAATTTTTCGAAATATATTTTCATTATGAAAAAGATCATTCATTTCAATCACTGTAGATATTTGATGTTAATATTTCTCTCGTGCTTTTCGTGGTGAATTTTTTTAAGAGAAGAGATAAAATTTCTATTTATATGTTTATGCTGCGATATCTGGTTATAAACAATACTTTTGTTTTTATGACTAAATCTGATCATATCTTTGACTTATTTATTTTGATATAGTTTCTCTTCTTCAATCAAATCATTATATTTATCAATATTTTTATTTTTGAAAGATTTTCTTTTGTTGAAAAATTTATTTGAGATTTTCAATTTCTTTAATTAATAAAATGAAACTATTAAAAATATTATTTTTAGTTAAAATTATATTTTTTACTTTTCTTCATAAACTGATGATCATTAGGTCCTAACAATACA